ACCACACCCCCCCCCCCCCCCCCCCCCCCAGGCAAAACAGGCCACAGCTACTGCTGTAGCGCACCTTGTTGAAGTTGAAGACGATGTCGAGCTCGCATACGTTGGAGAAGTACGACTCGAGCAGCTCGACAAACAGGTGGACCGTCTCGAGCGCCAGGAGCTCGTTGTCGTTCACGTCCATGCCAAACGTGAAGAACAGGCCCGCATATCGCCGGTAGATGAGCTTGTAGGTCCCGTACTACAAGCAGCGGTGGAAAGGCATAGCGCGGGATAATCAGCCCATATTGCCCAATTCGCGACGACCAGCCAAGACACATGGAAAGGTACTAATGTCTGCTGCTGATATCAATGATGCCCGTTGTCGTTAGGTGTTGCTCTGGCGTTCATCGCGTGATTCTTTATAACCCTAACCCTATGTGACTCCAAAGACGGGAATACGGCGATTTCGGGGGTCTCCTATTGTCACATGCGCAAGGCACGCAAAATAGCAGTCAGACAGGTCGCGTGCAACAGCGAGTCTCGAGGAAGACACGACGCCGAACGGGGCAGAGGGACGGGGGTGACGGGGGAGGAGGGGGTGATACCCATCACCCAGAACTCTTAGCTATTGTTCGCTGCGCGAAAAAAGCTCCGCGAAAAAAGGGTCGCGAAAAAGAGAAGCGCCTATCTAGATAGAAAGGAGTGTGTGCACAACTCGGCTGCTTTAGTCACTCATCGCGTCCCCCGCCCCCGTCACGTCCAAATGCATCCGGTCGTCCCTCGTCTTCTCTCCCTCTCAGCATCTGCACTACTTTCCATGCATCCAAGACCACATTTCGCGCGCGTGTGTGTGTTCCTGTTCCCCGGCCTATTTGTACCCGCCCCTTCCTTCTTCCCCGTTCGCCCCGCGGTGCTCCCGGTACCCCGCGCGCGCCCCGTGCGCTCATCTCAAAATCCTCGGTCTCACCTCCACAAAGTTTGTGTACTTCCTATCGCGGGTCACCACCAATCTGTGCACCTCGTTCTCGATCCGAACCTTCGCGGGGTGGGGTTGACCGCATTGGAGCACGAGACAGTAGTTAGTACAGGCGAGCATTGAAGACAGAAACAGGGTTCGGTTGAGGGTTAAGGCGAGGGTCGAGGGGGTGATGCTGTGTTTAGCAGGGGGGGGCGTACCTTAGCTGTTAGACGCGTGAACACGCGCCCTCGAGAGGTATAATACGGGGGGGGGTGGGGGGGCGTACTCATTTGTCGCTTGCCTTAGTCATTTGACCATGGACCACGCGTCCCTTTCGAGACGGAGCACCGTTCCTACCCTTAGTAGAGACACCACCAACATTTGGGAGCTCTTTACGTTTCTGCCACAAACTACATAAAAATTTCTTGCACATCTTATCCCCGTCCTCTAGGGCCTCTTGTGCCCACCATCTATCCCCAATTATCGCGATCGTTTTTTCGCTATTGTCTAGTTTACCAAAGTTGTCCATGTCACACCCTCTCTGTCTCATTTCCTCCACGAGACCCTCTCTTTCCTTCCTGTACAACTCACACTCCCCAACTATGTGGGGTCTACTCTCCTCCGATTTGCCACACGGACATGTGTGTCTATCCTCCTCTTCCTCTCTCCTACGGCTGGTATACCTCTTCCTCCGTTCTGGCAAGTCCAGATCGCCTACTCGAAATTGCAATTTCAGCTTTTTCGCGTAGTCCATGGGGCCGTCCAAGTACGTCTTCATCCCTAGCCCTTCTGTCAACTTCCCGTATATCTCCAAGTGGTCTTCGCTTCGTACCTTCTTCCGAAGGGTTGCCTCCTCCCTACTTTCTAGCATCTCCTTGACTTTCGTCTTGAACCCCCGAACCCTTCCGTGTCCAACGTCTCCTCCTCGCCTCCTATCTCCTTCCAAACCGTCTCTACCACCTTGTCCCATCTGATTCCCTTCTTCCCTGGAGTCGCTTTTCCCCAAGCTGCCTTGTCAACCATGGCTGGTAGTCTATCGTCCGACATTCTACTTACCTTGTACTGCCAATTCAACTTCTGCATGTCTCTCTTTGTTTTAAGAGAGTACATCCCCAATTCTGCTCTCAATACAGTGTTGCTCGTTGTACTTGAACATCCTAGTATTTTCTTGGCCGCTGCCATCTGCACCGTTTCCAGCTGCTTGACGGCCTTTTCGTTACCTTCCCATACCTCTCCTGCATACTCTAGCTTAGGTACAATCACATTCAAGAGAATACACCTCATAATCCTAGTGTCTAGGTGTGGGTCCGTAAGGATCTCGTCCATCTTGCCTATCTGAGCTTTACCCTTCCCAATCAACTTTGCTATGTGTGCGTCCCATGAGCACTCCTTCGAAATCTCTACTCCCAGGTACGTATACTTGTCTACTACCGGTAGTTCTTCCTCCCCCCATTTCCATTTGAATTCTACGGGATTTTTCTTGTCTTCGTTACAGACCACTACTGCGCATTTTCCTACGTTCGCCGACAGTCTCCATTTTCGGGTGTATCCTACCGCCGCATCTATTTGTTCTTGCAACCCTTCAGGTGTTTCGGATACCCCCACGAAATCATCTACAAACATCAGTCCGGACACACTCTTTCCCCCTACTTGGACTCCCTGTCTCACTGCTTCAACCGCCCTTATCAAATCGTTGATGTAAATCTTAAATAGAGTGGGTGACATCGTACAGCCCTGTGCGACTCCTTGGAGTAATCCACGTACTTCGAAATTTCCCCATCCAACATCACCGCACTTCTTGTGCATTCTGTCATCGTTTTCAGGTATATAGGGGGGGGGCGTACTCATTTGTTGCTTGCCGTAGTCATTTGACCATTGACCACGCGTCCCTTTCGAGACGGAGCACCGTTCCTACACCTACTAGAGACACCACCAACATTTGGGAGCTCTTTACGTTTCTGCCACAAACTCCATAAAAATTTCTTGCACATCTTATCCCCGTCCTCTAGGGCCTCTTGTGCCCACCATCTATCCCCAATTATCGCGATCGTTTTTTCTCTGTTGTCTAATTTACCAAACTTGTCCATGTCACACCCTCTCTGTCTCATTTCCTCCTCGAGATCCTCTCTTTCCTTCCTGTAC